TGAATTTGAAATTTCTTATATCATGTATGCTTTTCATGAAAAAAAATACCAATTGAAGTGGAGAGTTTCTCCAAACAACGAGAGGTTGGGGCGTTAGACAACTCTCTCTAAAGAACTGGACAAAATATTGGGTACCTCCTAACAAGAGGATCGCAATGATCAGACCTCGAAATATTGGGTAGCTATTATTAAACCAGGTCGAATGTTATACAAAATGGGTAGAGTAACCGAAAATATAGCTAGGCTAATCAATCGCAGCATCCAAAATGCAAGCAATCATGCCCACTTGCTTTGTAAATGATTATTTTCATCTACATTATTACTTTGTAGCAAAATATTAATTTTTTTTTTTTGTCCAATCTAAATCTAATCAAGCTATACCATTACCAGCGTAAAGATTAAATTTTTTAATACTTGACTTGTTGGTATGTACTCTGAACATCGTGTGCAAATTCGTGTTGGGTTCCCAATCTTTAAAACTAATGTTTTGAATTTTCATTCTATTTAAATTGGTGGATTAGGTCTACAAGTGATGAAATTGCAATTTTTAAATTGCACGTCATTTTCACACAAAAAATTTTAATTTAAAGATTGAGGGTTCATAATTATTTCACGTTAAAGTTGAGGAAACCTCCAAAAATCACTTAGTGGAAGATAGTGGGTCAAAAAGAAGCTTTAGATGGCCCAAGGAATCAATTATAGATGGTTGGAGGTAACTTGGTGGAGTCATGTTTTAGATGGCCCTGAATATTTTTCTTAAATTATCTCCTATTTTATTGAACTTTCAAAGCTCGTGAAAATGCAAAGAAATATTTAAATACTCCCGTCCAAACTTGCTTTCTTTTTTCGTTTATCCCAAATTATAATTTTTTTTAAAGAATATGGTTAATTTCTCAATTTTTTAATATGCTTCAATTTAAGGTACTTTATTATCAACAAATATGAACTATTTAAATTATTATTTAATACACTGGAAGTAAGTCTATCTTTATCGAACGGAAGGTGTAATATATACATGATTTTCTTTAACAACTTAAACTTCTAAATGTCTTATATGGAAGCATATATTGTGTATGTTTAAAGTTTTGATGAGGAAAGATGAATTATGTTTATACATGAGAAAGTGTATTAAACACATCATTTTAAATATTCGAATCCAGTGGTTCAACAATGACGAAGACCGTACGGGTGGCGAGAAGCTTACAAGTGACTCATTTATGTGAGACGACTCGCCTTGCTCGATCAATCATGGTGGACAATGAACAATGAATAATTTTATCTATGCTACGTCATCAGTTTAAATTTCTTTTAAGCGATGAATAAGAATAATATATTTACTTTTAAAGTGATCTATCAATTAATGATATTCGAATGTCGTCCAGATTGATACTAAATGACAATAGTTATGAGCAAAAGAAATTAATTGTATTGGGGCTTGAAAACGTTTTCCGCCATTTTAGTGCTTTGACACTAACGTGCATTTGATAGTCAAAACAATTATATTTCCTTTCTTTTTGATAAAACCCAAGTTTGATTAAGTTAAAAATTGACTTCAAATCGACCTCAAGCTTCGTTATAGAAGTGGAATTTAGTTAAGAAGAATAGGAATCAGGCCAATCATGCAAGGTTTGAGTTTATCGATTTCGCTGGCGTGGAGTCCACTTGATCGAATTGTTTGTAACTTTTTTTGATAAGAGATATTAATTTCAACAAAGATCGAGCGACTAAAAGAAGATCTTTCACAATAATAAAGTTATTTACGAAATGAGATTTTTCAACGTGCTTATCGCAAAAATACTCTTTTAAATTTTTTATTTATTAAATATTGTTAAAGCTAAATTCTTTACAAATTCAAAAGTATTTGATAAATGTGAAACATGACCAGAATGATTTGACGATAAAATTGCTTACAAACAATTACAATCCAATGAGTTACTAAAATTTACAATAAAACACAATACATAGTTCGTAAAAGGGATTGAATTTTTTTTTTTCCTGCATTCTCTACACTTTAAATATTATATAAGAAATTTAAATAAATTGTAAGTTACTGCATTTATAAAATTAAAAGCCAATGTCTTATACTATAATGCAAAAAGAATTTAAAAGTTACGTCAAAATATATTAATTTGCAAAAGTTGACAGTTTCAAATCATACTAATTAAATTATTCAAATTTAACTCATATTTGGTGGAGATTAAAATTGAATTTTTAGCAAATTTTAATAAAAAAAAAAGTAAAGAAATATGTGTTTAAAAAATTGTAGATCTCATAAAATATAATGTTAAAATTAATTGTTGACTCTGACTTTAATAAAAATCAAGATTATAAATTCTTTCAAACAAGACAATTTTTAGGCTTTACGTAATCGAAAATTGCCACTAAAATAATTAAAAATGAAGTTAGATGTCCAAATTAGGATACATAGCTTGTTCAGGAAAAAAAAAAAATAATAAATAAAATAAAAAAAAAGAAAAAAAAAGACACAATTTGCATGTTCTCGCATGACAGTATTAATATTTCGTATCAAAGTTCTGGAGTTATGATTTTATAAAACTCAAAATTGATTTTATGACAATATTTAAAAATTCAGATAAATAATAGTAAAAAATAAAAAGAAGAAAACTAGTAGTGGAGACTTAGGTGAGGAAATGTTACGTAATAAATTTGTTATATAAAATTAAATTAAATTTACTTTAAAGCTTAATTACAGGAATATTCAAGCTCGGGTCCCCAAATTTTGAGATATGTGACAATTGAGTTTCACATTTTTTGTTGCGTACCTCAGGTCCCTAGTTTATGAAAAAGTGATCGTTAAAATCAATTTTTATTTTTTTTTATTTAAGAGGAATGACGATTGTAACATTAATTTGAAAAATAGGTAAAAGATAATGGACGAACTCAAACGTCTCAACCTCCATGTGAACCACTATCAAATCTGCTCCACCGCTAGCGGCTGCCGCCACATTTAAAACTTCAAACACCACCATCAAGCCCATTCCATATTTCTTGAAAAAGAAAAGTCCAATCCAAATTTCTTATTTGAAGTGAAATTCCATATAAGATTTCAAAGATTTTACAGAATTTAGCGTATTTCATCCCAATTTTAATCTATATTCAAATTCGAAGATTTCATTCCATGTATTTGTGTTCAAACCAATTAGTTTCTTTATGTTTCATTAAAACTTTTTTCTACCCCCTTTGCCGTGGCCGACCCTTACCCCATCCTCCGCCATTAACTGCCAATCGTTGTCACAACTTTTTTAATGAATTCAACAGTCAAACCCAAATCAAATTAAAGTTATAGCAGATCAATTCAGAACGTGTCATTTCAAATTTTGAGCCAACCCATTTTGGTACTATTTTCCATTTGGGTCCGGTCCTTGTTCCATCTTGCTTCTCAAGAATTTTCATACCCAAATTTAACTACTTCAAATTTCAGATATGCTTCTGGGAGTTGAAACATTTAAAGCAGAATGCTAAATGGTTAAGTCGTCAATCATTTAATTATGCATTTACTTGGTGAATATTTTAGAAGAAATTTCTGATCTACGTGTTTTCTGTGAAGCATATACAATCTTCATTCATTAGATTAGAAACAGAAAATCGATTATCAGATGACACTAGTACACTTTCATAGATAAAGATTTGGGTACATAAATAGAAGATTGAGACTCATTCAATCATTCTCACAGGATTCAAAGGTTTGGTACCTAAGCTTGAATATTCCCTATTTTATTACACATGAAATTTACATATTTTAAATTTAATTTTTTAAACAATAAACATTTATTTAATTCCATTTGATTTATTTAAAAATTATATTTTGATAAAAGTTAATCAAACTTGTAGCTGAAAATTATATAAAATTGTGGGTAAAAACATGACGTATGTAATGATTTAATCCAGCTTATTAAAGTTGACAAAACTTTTATCCAAACTCAAAAAGTTTGATACATATACAATTTCTTGGACTCTTCTTCTCTCTACCCAATACTCTGCCATGTACCCTGGGCAAAAACCCCTGTTTGACCACACCTTGCATATATAAGCTTGTATATCTTGTGAATTTATCATGTATGTATGTCTGTATGTTAGATGGTTTTACCTGGGTTTGCGTTACATTTGCAACCGCTCTTGATGCAACCTCTTCTGGGATTTTTGGATAATATTTGCCGGAATCATGCATTTCTGCCACTGGAAGTATCCAAGAATGATCGGAATCTGGCCCCACGTTTGGATCTTTTCGGAAAAATAGAAAGATTTTCTCATTATGTTGGTAACTGCATGACTCAATTTTCTTTCAATATATCGAAAAGTAGCTTTGTCTTAATTATTACTTTTTATTTTTGTCCTTAATGGTTGTGAAATTTTACTCCATATGTTTCGCAAAGTGTTGTCTTGCTTTTTTTTTTTTTTTAACTTCAATTGAATTGAATGGGTCGTTTGAGATTTTCTTTTTCTTTTTCCTTTTCCATTTCATTTTATTATTATTATTATTATTTTTTTTAATAAATAGAATATAGATGGAGTGTACTTCAGTAAAAACATGAGGGGATGCTCGGCTAAGACTTTGATTTAGTCATTATATAATTTAGTTTGACATGATGTTGCAGCTAGGCAAATGGGATTTGAAGATGAAAGTGAATGTCCCCAATTAACAAAATTGGCATATGAGTACTTGAAGAAATCCCAAGGATGTGATGACAAAATTTATGAATATTTGGCTAATGAACCAAATGCTGATGCTTTGTATGTGAAGTTAGTGGATGAATTAGAGAGATGCATTCTTGGGTATTTTGCATTTCACTGGAGTCAAGCTCCTCTCATCATAAGTCAGGTATTATTTTAATTTTAGTCCCTTTTTTTTTTTGGGATAAAACCTGGAGAATTCACAAAGTTTCCTTATATTTCCATTAAAATATTTTGATCTAATCCAAAAAAATTATTATATGTCGCAGGTACTGAGTGTTAATTCTCATCAGAAAAAGCTCAAGGAATTTGTGATGGCAGTTACAAGGTGAGTAGCTGATTCTGCACAAGGCTGCACTACAACTAAACTGGCAAGTTGAACTTTTTAATGTTGGACTGAATGACATTTGATAACTGCATTGTGCAATTGTGTGTAAACATGTTGGTAGGATGGACATAGTTAATTTGATCATTTATGATATGTTTGGATTGTGGAAATGCATGAACAAATCGAAACAGGTTGATGAACAATGTCACGATATGCTCGCCGATTGCACTAAGGGGGATGGAAAAAAGTTAGAAATCTTTTACTGACCTTCCTTTCCATTGTTGTCAATTACTTTAGGTACAAGTGTGGTACGATAGATTTGATAATGCTCTAGTACTATTTAATTCTATGTAGCAAACATGGATGCATACTGTTGGTCTGTCTTTTGATATTATACAAAGTTAATCTGCCTGTACAAAGAGAATATAACTAGTATTATTATTTGTAAGGTGATTATCATTTTTTCTGATTGAGTGGTTGTATATGTTGAAAGGGAAGTTACTCCTAGTCATAATATGTCAGAGGAGGTGATGGAACCTTATACAACTTGGCTGTTCTTATTCTTTATATAGATTCTTATGCATGCCATGACATAAGTTGTTTGAATGAGGAAAATTTATCTCTTAATTAATTAGGATTTATTTGAACTAATCTTGAGAAGATTTGCAGAAGGTAAATAATTAGTTAACAATCAAACTGTATTGAGTTTCATTATTAGATGTCGTTCTTGCGCTGCAGTCCTTTAACCTTTTAATTGTTATACTTTACACATGTCAGATTCTTCAAAGGGATTCATTCTTATTTGGGAAACTATAGTCTACTATTGTGGTGTTGATTTTATCATTTCTTCTACAGAAAGAATAAAGTGATAGGAAGTAAATATTTGTAAGCACGGGCGAATAATCAACAAAATTAACTTTCGAAAAACTTGATAATCGCAAGAAATTTGGAAATGAGATCAACAGCTTTCTTAAGAAATTGATTGTGATGAAAAAATCACGCTTCTTGTGGAATAGAACTTAACAATGATCGAGTTATTTGTGTTTTTTTTGACACAAAGGAAATCTGCTATTTCTCTCTGGTGAATGCTAGCAGATTATTGGAGGCTGATCGTCTATTTTCTTTTCTTTTCTTTTTGCGCATATAGGAAGCAGAGATTTGAAAAGATAACTAGGGATCTGAAAGTGACAAGAGTGTTCTCTACGCTAATGGAGGAGATGAAAGCAATCGGTATAATTTCGAATGGAGTACTAAATAATTCCAATGTAATGGTGCCAGCAGTTCACAGCCAGAGATGTCCAGTGCTTCTCCTTATGGGCGGTGGAATGGGAGCCGGCAAGAGCACTGCCCTCAAAGACATTATGAAAGGGTAATAACTAACAACTATTCTTAACTTTGTTACTGTCATTATCCTGTCACAATTATATTCACTTCTTAGCTCTTAACAAGGTATGATAGTAGGCAAAGGTCAAAGTTCAAATCTTACCGCTTCCCATTTATGAAAATTGTCCATGTGTCAGACCGTTTATACAATATAAATTTGGCCTAAACATAGGTGGCATTTTTGAAGGCTAAATTTAAATCATTAAATGTGATATTGCTTTAACTACTAAAGTTTTTAAATGAGGTGGTCGGACAGCTCCATAAAATGAAGTCTAATTTATTGTATCTGGAAGAATTTTAATTTATTTGGTAGTGTAAGTTAACTAACCTTGACCTCTTCAACAAACCTTTTTACTTTTTGTAACTTCATCTTTTCTAATTCATCTGACCATGAAATATATGTAACTCATGATTCACCAAGCCATATGTATTCTGTAGAGAAACGGGTTTGGCATAAATTGAGAGAAGTTAAGTTTCTTCCTTTCTAATTTCATTATGTTGAAAAACACAAGAGTACATGTTTGGTAACTTGGTACAGGAATGGAAACATAGTAAACTCTAATTATATTTTTGCCTAATTGACGTGATTTACTTCCTTAACACTCTCCCTCAAGTTGTAGCATGTACATCATATAAGTCAAACTTGGGATATAAAAATTTCTACCGATTACCATTCAACAACTTTGTAAACATATTAGCACGTTGTTCTTGTGTTATTACAAATGGTGTACATATATTATCACTCACTATTTTGTCCCTGATAAAGTGACGATCAATTTCAATATATTTGGTCTTTTCATGAAAGACTGAATTGGATACAATATGTGGAGTAGCTTGAGTATCACTAAACATTAGAATAGGAGTGGAAGTGCGAGATTGATTTCTTGAAGAAAGCCCTGCAACCTTGTCAACTCACTAGTAGTATAAGCCATTACCCTATCTTTTGTTTCTGTACTTGATATTGCTACTACATTTTTTTTTTAACTTTTCTAATAGACAAGATTACTACCGAGAAAAGTACAAAAATTAGAGTGGATCGTTTATCTAACGGGGATCTTGTCCAATCTGCATTTGTAAACCCTTCTATTTTAATATGTCCATTTGGTTTATACAATAATTCAAGACTTGGAGAATTTTTTTTTAAGTAATGAATGATACATATCACAGCTTCCCAATGAGGAACCGGAGGAGCATCTAAAAACTGACTAATAACGCTAACTGAATGGAAATCTATGGTTGTGTGATGATAAGATAAATTCAATTTTCCATCAAAATGAAGATTTTTTCCAAGTTCTTTAAACAATTCTTATTCATCCTTCAAAAGTTTCACATTAGGATCCATGGGAGTATCAATTGGACGAGTTTAAAGAGAACTTGTCTCATCTAACAGATCAATTGCATATTTTCTTTAAGATAAATTAATACTTGCTCGTGACCTAGCAACTTTAATACCCAAGAAATATCGGAGTTTGCCTAGATCTTTGGTCTGTAAGTGTTTTTGTAGAAACTATTTTAACCTAACAATCTCATTTGTATCATTACTAGCGATTACAATATCATATACATAAGCTACAATGATAACATAATCTACACAAGTTTGTAGATGAAATACTGAACGATCTCTCTAACATCTCTGAAGACCAAATTCCAAAACAACCTCACAAAACTTCCTAAACCATGCTTTTGGTGATTGCTTTAACTTATATAAAGCATTTTTTAACTTACAGTACTCTCTTTGAGTAACAAATTCAGGTGGTTGCTCCACATAAACCTATTCATGTAAGTTACATAATTTAATGCATTTTTAATATCCAATTGAAACAGAGGCCAACCAAGGTTAGCAGTGATAAAAACCAAACTCGAATAGAAGAGATCTTACCAACGGGAGAGAATGTTTCATCATAATCAATACCATAGGTCCGCGTGTAACCTTTAGCAACTAGTTGAGCTTTCAATCGATAAACATTACCATCAGGTTGAGCTTCGGAACAAAGCCCATCTATTACCAACAGGATGTATTCTAGTCGGTAAAGGAATTAGTTCCTATGTCTTATTCTCTTGCAAGGTCGCTATTTCTAATTCTATAGCTTTTTGCTACTCAGGATAAAAAAAAGCTTCCTTCACTGTCTCAGGTGCAAAAACACTAGAAAACTGGGATGTGAAACAAGAAAAAAAGGTGACAACGAATCAAAAGTAATGTAGTGGTTGATAGGATGTTTAGCTACACAAGTATGTTTACATTTACGGTAAGCAATAGGCAATGACTCAAGATCAGAACAGATGATAGACGCAGGATATATAGACAACGATATGACGGATGAGGCCACAGATGTTGGTGGCTTAGGTTGTCAAGTATAAACGTGTAAGTGAGGTGGTAGCTCCTCATGAGAAGAGGACAACTCTTGAATAGTAGACAAAGCCGAGTCCCTTAATAAGAGGAGGACAACTCTTTTACAGTAGATAGAGCCGAGTCTAGTTCTAGAAATATACTAATAGGTAGATATGGTACAAGTAAGCTAACGGGGACTCGAGTGGATTTGAAAGACGTATTATGATTCGAGAAATAAGGTATGGACTCGTCAAAAGTAACATCTGCACTTACAAAATAGTGTTGTAGAGGACTGTAGCTCCGATACCCCTTTGTTTTTGGGAGTAACTAAGGGGAAAACACATTTCATAGAGCGAGAGTTGAGTTTGTCACGACCAAAACCGAAGTGAGAAATATAATAAACAAACCCAAAAACATTGAGAGGTAACTAATACTATGGAGAGGAGGAAAATAAAAGAGAGGATGAAGTTGCATCGTAAAAAATGGAGGATGACATGCGATAAATGAGATAGGATGCAGTATGGACAACATCACTCTAAGATCATTTAAGTATATGCATATGACAAAGAAGAATGCGAGTAACTTCTAACATATGACAATTTTTGTGTTCTGCAACTCCAGTTTTGTTGTGGAGTATATACGCAAGATACTTGATGAATAATGCCTTTGGAAGAGATATATGATGCAAAAGAAGCAGACATATACTGTTAGTCATTATCAGATCACAAAATACGGATCTTCTGATTACATTGAGTCTTGATCAAATTACGGAAGACTTGTAAGGTAGAAAGTATCTCAAAACAATTTTTCATTAAGAACAACCAAGTCATTTGAGAATAGTCATTCACAAAAGTCATAAAATATTGAACTTTATTAGAGGAAATATCGATTGGTCCTCCATACATCAGAATACACTATTTCAAATAAACTAGAGAAACACGATTAATAGCTTTTAAAGGAAAAGACCCACAATGATATTTGCTAAATTGACAAGCCTCACATTCAAGGGATGATACATTATGAAGACTTAGAACTTGACGCTTTAAATTGGAAAGAGAAGGGTGACCTAGACGACAATGCGACTACATGCGTGAAATAGAGGACTCGAGAGGTCAATAGGAAGAGACTAGTGAAAGCTCCAGGTAATACAAGCCACCAACTTCATGCCTCATACCAATCATGTTCTTCGGCCTGAGATCCTGAAAAATACTTAAAGAAGGATAAAATGTTATAGAACATTGAGGAGTTGTGGTAATTTCCCTTTAAAAAAGGGTTGTGGTAATTTTACTAGTAGACAATAAGCTAAAGGGAAAGTCAGGAACATGAATGACAGTTGACAGGTCAATATGGGCATTGTTTGAGCCTACAACACTAGTTCAGGAATCTTTATAAAAAGTGACACATTTGGGAGAAATAACGGGATGATAATCACGAAGAGAAGTAGACGAACCAGTCATGTATTCAGTTGCTGTAGAATCTATAATCTATGGATTGTAAGAGGATGACAATAGATATTGAGAAGATGCGGTACCTGTCTTAGGAAGAGTGGCCATAGAATGGGAAGTGGCGTGTTTATGAGCTAAGAACCCAGCGTACTCATCCAGTGGTACAGATAAGAAATTGGATTTGGATGTTGAAATAAAGTTAACAACTGATCTAGACACAGGGTTATGGGTCTCATTGAATGAGATCTGATTGGTAGATCCAGATGGTTTGTCATATACTTTCCAACAATAATCAATGGAGTGACCTATACTACCATAGCTGTTCTTATTCTTTATATAGATTCTTATGCATGCCATGACATAAGTTGTTTGAATGAGGAAAATTTATCTCTTAATTAATTAGGATTTATTTGAACTAATCTTGAGAAGATTTGCAGAAGGTAAATAATTAGTTAACAATCAAACTGTATTGAGTTTCATTATTAGATGTCGTTCTTGCGCTGCAGTCCTTTAACCTTTTAATTGTTATACTTTACACATGTCAGATTCTTCAAAGGGATTCATTCTTATTTGGGAAACTATAGTCTACTATTGTGGTGTTGATTTTATCATTTCTTCTACAGAAAGAATAAAGTGATAGGAAGTAAATATTTGTAAGCACGGGCGAATAATCAACAAAATTAACTTTCGAAAAACTTGATAATCGCAAGAAATTTGGAAATGAGATCAACAGCTTTCTTAAGAAATTGATTGTGATGAAAAAATCACGCTTCTTGTGGAATAGAACTAAACAATGATCGAGTTATTTGTGTTTTTTTTGACACAAAGGAAATCTGCTATTTCTCTCTGGTGAATGCTAGCAGATTATTGGAGGCTGATCGTCTATTTTCTTTTCTTTTCTTTTTGCGCATATAGGAAGCAGAGATTTGAAAAGATAACTAGGGATCTGAAAGTGACAAGAGTGTTCTCTACGCTAGTGGAGGAGATGAAAGCAATCGGTATAATTTCGAATGGAGTACTAAATAATTCCAATGTAATGGTGCCAGCAGTTCACAGCCAGAGATGTCCAGTGCTTCTCCTTATGGGCGGTGGAATGGGAGCCGGCAAGAGCACTGCCCTCAAAGACATTATGAAAGGGTAATAACTAACAACTATTCTTAACTTTGTTACTGTCATTATCCTGTCACAATTATATTCACTTCTTAGCTCTTAACAAGGTATGATAGTAGGCAAAGGTCAAAGTTCAAATCTTACCGCTTCCCATTTATGAAAATTGTCCATGTGTCAGACCGTTTATACAATATAAATTTGGCCTAAACATAGGTGGCATTTTTGAAGGCTAAATTTAAATCATTAAATGTGATATTGCTTTAACTACTAAAGTTTTTAAATGAGGTGGTCGGACAGCTCCATAAAATGAAGTCTAATTTATTGTATCTGGAAGAATTTTAATTTATTTGGTAGTGTAAGTTAACTAACCTTGACCTCTTCAACAAACCTTTTTACTTTTTGTAACTTCATCTTTTCTAATTCATCTGACCATGAAATATATGTAACTCATGATTCACCAAGCCATATGTATTCTGTAGAGAAACGGGTTTGGGATAAATTGAGAGAAGTTAAGTTTCTTCCTTTCTAATTTCATTATGTTGAAAAACACAAGAGTACATGTTTGGTAACTTGGTACAGGAATGGAAACATAGTAAACTCTAATTATATTTTTGCCTAATTGACGTGATTTACTTCCTTAACACTCTCCCTCAAGTTGTAGCATGTACATCATATAAGTCAAACTTGGGATATAAAAATTTCTACCGATTACCATTCAACAACTTTGTAAACATATTAGCACGTTGTTCTTGTGTTATTACAAATGGTGTACATATATTATCACTCACTATTTTGTCCCTGATAAAGTGACGATCAATTTCAATATATTTGGTCTTTTCATGAAAGACTGAATTGGATACAATATGTGGAGTAGCTTGAGTATCACTAAACATTAGAATAGGAGTGGAAGTGATAGATTGATTTCTTGAAGAAAGCCCTGCAACCTTGTCAACTCACTAGTAGTATAAGCCATTACCCTATCTTTTGTTTCTGTACTTGATATTGCTACTAAATTTTTTTTTTAACTTTTCTAATAGACAAGATTACTACCGAGAAAAGTACAAAAATTAGAGTGGATCGTTTATCTAACGGGGATCTTGTCCAATCTGCATTTGTAAACCCTTCTATTTTAATATGTCCATTTGGTTTATACAATAATTCAAGACTTGGTATTTTTTTTTTAACTTTTCTAATAGACAAGATTACTACCGAGAAAAGTACAAAAATTAGAGTGGATCGTTTATCTAACGGGGATCTTGTCCAATCTGCATTTGTAAACCCTTCTATTTTAATATGTCCATTTGGTTTATACAATAATTCAAGACTTGGAGAATTTTTTTTTAAGTAATGAATGATACATATCACAGCTTCCCAATGAGGAACCGGAGGAGCATCTAAAAACTGACTAATAACGCTAACTGAATGGAAATCTATGGTTGTGTGATGATAAGATAAATTCAATTTTCCATCAAAATGAAGATTTTTTCCAAGTTCTTTAAACAATTCTTATTCATCCTTCAAAAGTTTCACATTAGGATCCATGGGAGTATCAATTGGACGAGTTTAAAGAGAACTTGTCTCATCTAACAGATCAATTGCATATTTTCTTTAAGATAAATTAATACTTGCTCGTGACCTAGCAACTTTAATACCCAAGAAATATCGGAGTTTGCCTAGATCTTTGGTCTGTAAGTGTTTTTGTAGAAACTATTTTAACCTAACAATCTCATTTGTATCATTACTAGCGATTACAATATCATATACATAAGCTACAATGATAACATAATCTACACAAGTTTGTAGATGAAATACTGAACGATCTCTCTAACATCTCTGAAGACCAAATTCCAAAACAACCTCACAAAACTTCCTAAACCATGCTTTTGGTGATTGCTTTAACTTATATAAAGCATTTTTTAACTTACAGTACTCTCTTTGAGTAACAAATTCAGGTGGTTGCTCCACATAAACCTATTCATGTAAGTTACATAATTTAATGCATTTTTAATATCCAATTGAAACAGAGGCCAACCAAGGTTAGCAGTGATAAAAACCAAACTCGAATAGAAGAGATCTTACCAACGGGAGAGAATGTTTCATCATAATCAATACCATAGGTCCGCGTGTAACCTTTAGCAACTAGTTGAGCTTTCAATCGATAAACATTACCATCAGGTTGAGCTTCGGAACAAAGCCCATCTATTACCAACAGGATGTATTCTAGTCGGTAAAGGAATTAGTTCCTATGTCTTATTCTCTTGCAAGGTCGCTATTTCTAATTCTATAGCTTTTTGCTACTCAGGATAAAAAAAAGCTTCCTTCACTGTCTCAGGTGCAAAAACACTAGAAAACTGGGATGTGAAACAAGAAAAAAAGGTGACAACGAATCAAAAGTAATGTAGTGGTTGATAGGATGTTTAGCTACACAAGTATGTTTACATTTACGGTAAGCAATAGGCAATGACTCAAGATCAGAACAGATGATAGACGCAGGATATATAGACAACGATATGACGGATGAGGCCACAGATGTTGGTGGCTTAGGTTGTCAAGTATAAACGTGTAAGTGAGGTGGTAGCTCCTCATGAGAAGAGGACAACTCTTGAATAGTAGACAAAGCCGAGTCCCTTAATAAGAGGAGGACAACTCTTTTACAGTAGATAGAGCCGAGTCTAGTTCTAGAAATATACTAATAGGTAGATATGGTACAAGTAAGCTAACGGGGACTCGAGTGGATTTGAAAGACGTATTATGATTCGAGAAATAAGGTATGGACTCGTCAAAAGTAACATCTGCACTTACAAAATAGTGTTGTAGAGGACTGTAGCTCCGATACCCCTTTGTTTTTGGGAGTAACTAAGGGGAAAACACATTTCATAGAGCGAGAGTTGAGTTTGTCACGACCAAAACCGAAGTGAGAAATATAATAAACAAACCCAAAAACATTGAGAGGTAACTAATACTATGGAGAGGAGGAAAATAAAAGAGAGGATGAAGTTGCATCGTAAAAAATGGAGGATGACATGCGATAAATGAGATAGGATGCAGTATGGACAACATCACTCTAAGATCATTTAAGTATATGCATATGACAAAGAAGAATGCGAGTAACTTCTAACATATGACAATTTTTGTGTTCTGCAACTCCAGTTTTGTTGTGGAGTATATACGCAAGATACTTGATGAATAATGCCTTTGGAAGAGATATATGATGCAAAAGAAGCAGACATATACTGTTAGTCATTATCAGATCACAAAATACGGATCTTCTGATTACATTGAGTCTTGATCAAATTACGGAAGACTTGTAAGGTAGAAAGTATCTCAAAACAATTTTTCATTAAGAACAACCAAGTCATTTGAGAATAGTCATTCACAAAAGTCATAAAATATTGAACTTTATTAGAGGAAATATCGATTGGTCCTCCATACATCAGAATACACTATTTCAAATAAACTAGAGAAACACGATTAATAGCTTTTAAAGGAAAAGACCCACAATGATATTTGCTAAATTGACAAGCCTCACATTCAAGGGATGATACATTATGAAGACTTAGAACTTGACGCTTTAAATTGGAAAGAGAAGGGTGACCTAGACGACAATGCGACTACATGCGTGAAATAGAGGACTCGAGAGGTCAATAGGAAGAGACTAGTGAAAGCTCCAGGTAATACAAGCCACCAACTTCATGCCTCATACCAATCATGTTCTTCGGCCTGAGATCCTGAAAAATACTTAAAGAAGGATAAAATGTTATAGAACATTGAGGAGTTGTGGTAATTTCCCTTTAAAAAAGGGTTGTGGTAATTTTACTAGTAGACAATAAGCTAAAGGGAAAGTCAGGAACATGAATGACAGTTGACAGGTCAATATGGGCATTGTTTGAGCCTACAACACTAGTTCAGGAATCTTTATAAAAAGTGACACATTTGGGAGAAATAACGGGATGATAATCACGAAGAGAAGTAGACGAACCAGTCATGTATTCAGTTGCTGTAGAATCTATAATCTATGGATTGTAAGAGGATGACAATAGATATTGAGAAGATGGGGTACCTGTCTTAGGAAGAGTGGCCATAGAATGGGAAGTGGCGTGTTTATGAGCTAAGAACCCAGCGTACTCATCCAGTGGTACAGATAAGAAATTGGATTTGGATGTTGAAATAAAGTTAACAACTGATCTAGACACAGGGTTATGGGTCTCATTGAATGAGATCTGATTGGTAGATCCAGATGGTTTGTCATATACTTTCCAACAATAATCAATGGAGTGACCTATACTACCATAGTGAGTACATTTTCGAGGTTCTCGATTTCTTGAATAACCATTGCATCTAGTGTCTCGTCCACCTTGAGGGCTAAAATCATGTCCATTCCGACTATTACGTTCATCCCTAAATGAGCCACCCCGAGCAATAAAAGTAGAACAATCTCCATTGGGGGTACTATCTGATGAGATAGAGCACTGAATAGGAGAGAATGTCTTTGCAAGATTGGGAAGCTCCTTTTCACCTAATATCTGTGCCTGAACTGCTTCAACTTTGGTAAAAGACCAATAAGAAATTTAACAACATCGATATCCTCACCCTATTTTTCCATAAACTTCAAATTAAAAGAGAGGTTGATGCACATTTCTCTCCTAGTACACAGCTAAAAGCTTATTATAATATTTAACGAGGCTGGAGGAACCCTTCTCAAGCCCAAAGTATTGCTTACATTTCTCATATATCTGAGTAACATTTCTAGTTCCAAAATGTGTGTTTAAGATGCACCCAAATTTGCTTAACTGAAGTCATATAGACGGATGAAGGCCCGATATGAGGCTTAATACTACCGATCATAAGTTCAATTATGACTTTATCCTCTTGATTCCACTGATGATTTAGAGTGCTTTACGAGAAAGTAAAACTGGATTCATTTTATTGTCACTGAAAAAAGTTTGAACAATTTGGCAGCTCATTTTGGTCAGGAGCAGCAGCAGATGCTGTGATAGTTGAAGCGGACGCTTTCAAGGAAACAGATGTCATTTACAGAGCTCTTAGTTCTAGTGGTCATCACCAAGACATGCTTCAAACTGCTGAATTGGTAAGTCTCCTGTTCAAGTACAAGTGCATGCATGAAGATACGTATAGAATTAAGTCGTTGAACTTGAAACTTTTATTTTCATTAATTAATTATATATCTAGTGGGATTCATTAACTTGGTTAATTTAATTTTATAAACTACAAAATGATCAGTTATTTCATTCTCCAGCAATTGAGTCATTTCTAAGTATAGAATGCTGCATTAAGCTAACTATTTAGCAAAAATGATCGTCCACAAGTTGGTAAAAAGTTTCTTTATTGTCACTCTTGCTTGTGCAAGATGTTGAGTTTGATGGAGTAAGCACCTATTGGCACCTCAAGTATGCACATCAATACTAAACATGAATGAGGATTATATATTAACATAAAATAATGATTACCTTTCAAATTTTCTTCCACCCTAACAAACAAGCAATAATAAGCAGGCAGTTCTCTGTTGACATATTTTGCCGAAAGCGGTTATCAATCTAACTTCATATAGTAGACCGATTTCAACATTAGATTAACTGCTATTTGTTCGCGTAAATGCATATTACTACATTCTACCATTACATAGACAAATTTGTTTCTTACAAATAACATTTGCATGAAATAGGTGCACCAATCATCCATCGATGCTGCATCATCGCTCCTAGTAACAGCACTTAATGAGGGACGTGATGTTATCATGGATGGTACCCTATCTTGGGAGCCCTTTGTTGAGCAGACAATTACCATGGCAAGAAATGTACACAAACATCGTTACCGCATGGGAGATGGCTACAAGGTGGCAGAGGATGGTACTATCACTGAAAATTACTGGGTTCAGGTAGAAGACGAAGGAGAAGAAACTATGATAAAAAAACCTTACCGGATAGAGTTGGTTGGAGTTGTTTGTGATGCCTATCTGGCTGTTGTTAGAGGTATCAGGTACGATTGCGACTCAGAACACTTTCGTAAAATAGTTTTGAGTCACTAAATTAAGTTTGGCATCCATCAGAAACAAGTATTTATAAGTTTATAAGATTATTGCAGGAGGGCAATACATATGGGAAGGGCAGTTAGGGTAAAGTCACAATTGAATTCCCACAAGAGATTTGCAAATGCATTTCAAAGATACTCTCAGCTTGTAGATAATGCGAGGTTGTATTGCACAAATGCTCCTGGAGGTCCACCAAGGGTAATATGCAAAAACTTTATCATCTTCCTTCTTCATATCTGATATAATTATCGGAAAACACTGGCTGGTGAAATTTATAGATGATACAATAACCTGCACAAATAAATTTAGGTGATTATAGACTGTCTAGTGGTTGATTATTCCAGCCTGTCACCCTGACAACCCGGGCTTGATTCCCAAGAATGGTACATAAATTTTGGGTTGTGTTGATTTGCTTTGGATCCAGTCGCTTTAGATCTGCCAATAGAACTGAACTGAGCAGAATGACGAATAAGAATTCATGTAGTGGATTCCAAACTTATTGAGTATGGTTTAGTTTATTGTTATAATAGAATAAGGTGCCCAAAATAACTTAACTGCACTTGAACTTACTTTAAAGTGAAGTGTTTGTGTACAGAAGGGAAAATTTAGAATTGATCTATTCCAAACCATATAGGAAAGTGCTTATTATACATCACCCTTTACATAATCTTTTACATGAGGTGTTAAAAAATAAATAAATAAGGTGACCAATCAAATTTCACCACATTTTTTTGTTTTTAAATAAATCTGTAAGTTGTAATGTTCATGCAACACAACCGAACGATAAATAGATACTTGTTTTACATGTGCAGCTGATAGCATGGAAAGATGGAGACAGCAATTTATTAGTTGATCCCGATGAAATCAAATGTTTGACTTCAGTATGCAATTTGAACGAAGAAGCAGAGTCCATTTATGAGCTCTACAGAGAGCATGACCAAATAACTGAACCTGGTTCGGTTTGGAAAGAAATGGTTTTGTTGCCTACAAGAGCAAGTCTTCAACAAGAACTGAAAACTGTTGTACAGAAAATCGAAATTTCGGTGGATAAGATGGTTAACTTAAAATCTTTGTGATGTATATTTTGGAATCAGAAATGTTCACACTAATAGGGATCAGCAATTGTAAATAATTGTTCGGACGGATTAAACTTGTGTGAACGCCCATCTACTTTTTCTTATTGGCTTGATTCAGGACTCTTTGTTGAATAACAGTTCCAAAGAAATTAAGCAATTTTTTTTTCCTTGCCAATTAAGTTCTGTATCTATCGTTTCATTCGTTTGTAATTGCAATTAAAAAATATGCTGCATTTTCTTTCCTTTCCTTTCCTTTCTTTTTTTCTTTTTTCCTTTTTCTATTTTTTTTTTTTGGAGAAACTCGTACATAATTTAAGAAATATGTTCCTTTATATTTGATAATCTGTTGAGGGACGAAAAAAAAGAGAAAATTATATCCTGCAATTCTTCTCCAGCGATTATCTTCTTCTAAATCAAGGTCCATGTTAAAATCCAATCAAATATTCAGCAGATAAGGTTCGTTGAAATCTGTTCTTCACCAAATCCAGTTGTTGATATCTGTTTCTTATATTATTTTGAGTATTGTCTTTATCTACTATAGATTATGAGAGATATTAGGAAGATAGGTTTTGATAATGTTGTATATAAACTAACCTCTGTAAATGATTTATATACAGAAAAGTGAATTATTCTTTGTTCTCCAAAATCATCAAAACCTGCCTTGGGTATCTTTTTCATGGTATTAGAGCAGAAATTTTAACGAGTCATAGTCAGAATTTCTTGTTCCTGAGGTCCTTCGTTACCCATTTTCGGTAATCCCTACAAACTTTGACTTTATCAAGAACCCAAACATGACTGAAAAAGACAAAGCAGTAAAGGTTTTTGAGAATGAAACAGACCCTTTTCACCTTCACTTTTCTAATCATCCAGGAGTAAGCCTTGTGACCAAAGCGCTGAATGGCGACAACTATGCTTCTTGGAGCCGTTTCATGTCCATAGCCCTCAGTGCTAAAAATAAAACTGGCTTTGTTGATGGTTCAATTGGAAAACCATCATAAAAGTTTGCATCATGGAAACGATGAAACAACATGGTCATTTCTTGGATATTGAACACCATAGATCTAAGTCTAGGAGATAGCGTCATTTTTACTGAAATAGCAGCTAAAGTTTGGAAGGATCTGAGAAAGAGATTTTCTCAGAATAATGCTCCAAGAGTTTATAAAATAGAACGTGATATATGTTGGAAAAATTCCATTGTACTGGGCCACACACATATATTCAAGTGGTAATTACATAAAACCCTAGAGTTAAAAACTAGGGTTCAAAAATCATATGAGTAGTTTAATAGTTCAAAAGTCAGATTTTCATCTTTAAATTAAATACCAATTACACCCGAATTTCATTCCAATCCGTCTTCTCTCTCTATCAATTATAATCCATCTCCTTCTCTCTCCTCAAACTCTCTCTCTCTCTCTCTCTCTCTCTCTCTATGGCAGCTCAAGAAAGGTTTAGGAGGTGATGCTTCTATTTTCACTCTCCCCACTCGAATTCAACTTCACCGACAGCTTCATCCCCAGGTTGTGCCGTCTCTTCTAAACGGTAGCGCAGTGATCTGTGGCCTCATCTTCAACGGCGGCTACAGTGCGCATCTCACTCGAGTCTCCACGTTTTGTCTCCTCCACCGATTTCTATGGTCGTGGATCTGTCGTCGGCGTGGTGGATTTGTGGGTGTCAGCCGATGATATTAGATCTCTAATTTTGGATTAATTTTTTGGATCTGTAATGTTCCAGTGGTGGCATTGGGCGGATGAGTTCTGGTTTTGGTTCTAACATTGGGCTGGAGGAGAATAGGGAGGAGGACAATGGTGGTTGTGGATGGTGGTTTGTGTTTCGGATGGCATGGGTGACCCGATCTGGTGTTTTTTTTTCTAATTGTTTTGGTGATTGGTTCCTGTTAATGTGGTGGTGGTTCCAATAGTTAGGGATGGCCGGTGGTATTGTGGTTGCTGTGGTGGTTTTACCCACAATGGTGTTGCTATCGGGTGGCGGTGGTAGTTCTGGAGGCGATACTGTTGTAGGCAGAGATTGTCAGAAGTGTTGGTGGTGGTCACATGGTTACAGATTATTTGCCTGATTGTGATCATTAAATTGATTAATCTGTGACCAATAGAGACCGATGAAAAAGATAAATTATGACCAATGTGACCTAAAAAAATATCAATTTGTGACCGTCTAATGACTGTGACCAATACATTAATTGTGACATATTAATTTTCGATTTGTGACCGATGAACAAATTGTGACCTATAATTTTTTTTAATTGTGACCGTAAAATAATTTGTAATATTTAAAAATTATGATTTCTGATCGAAAAATAATATATGACTAATTAAAATATGAATCTGTGACCAAATGTATAGATATGTGACCTTAATGTATGACAAAATCGAATAAATTGGATACTAATTCAATCATTAAATCTGTAATTTTTTCCTCAATCATGAATAATTGTCTTTTGTTGCGTGAATAATTGTGTGGGTTTGGGATGTAAATATGTATTTTAAGGGGTTTGTTCAAGTATGGAAACTAGATGCTTAATTTTAGGGATTTAATTGCAACAAAATCCTCTCTCTCTCTCTCTCTCTCTCTCTCTCTCTCTCTCTCTCTCTCTCTCTCTCTCTCTCTTTGTCTCTCTCTTAGTTTTGAAATTAAAAACTTGCCATCTTAAAACTGAAATATAGTATAGTTAATGTAGGGATTATGAAATTTTCCCTATATTCAAATGTGTGGTGCTATTTTAAAGCTTAGTCAATAAAGTGATCCATTAAAGTTAATTTTGGATTAATGAATATTAAATGTCATGGAAATAAAGTGTAGAGACCGAAATGATTATTTTAAATTGATGGGGGGCCATTTGAAATAACTGAAAGATAATAATTGCTTAATGCAGTTATTTAAATTGGGTCATTGTTCCCAATTGAACGTGATTTTCACTTCTCAGCATCCCCGTCGACAGAAAGAATTTTTCTAAGAAATTACGCATCAATTGGAAGATCATAACTCGTTAAAGCAATCACCTCTATGGATCAAGGTATGCTTCTACTTTTAATCTTCTGCTTCACTTCAACATGGAGGATTTATGTAATTTTGTGAAAGGGCATTTTCAAATCTACAAGTGTTATCAGGGCAACTCGATTGTTGAATCTTTGAAAAGTTGCAAGAATTAAGATTTTAACAATTCTGAATTTTGGGTTATTTGATCTTCTATCATGTGATAATATGGAATCTAGTTCTTGCAATATTTTCAAAGTTTTCAGATTTGACAATTTCGGATCTGTTTTTTGTTGAATTTGAAAAATCCTTTGGCAAATTATTTCATGTTTATCTTTCTAGATTTGGATGAAAAGTTTTGGAAATTCTATTTATGGATTTTTGGGTTTCAAAAATAAAATGGTAAAAATCGGATTTCGCTAGCGGCAACTACAGCGTAGCAGCGCCGCCGACGTTGCAAAAGAGCAGTAGCTTCAAGTGGTGCCTGCTGTTCTAAGGTAGCGCCGAGGAAAGAGAAAGAAAGCATTGGATAGATTTTTAGGAAGGGGGCTTGTGATGTAATTTTGATAATTTTGGGCCCTTGCTTGTAATAAAGATTAGGGTTAGGGTTGCAAATTTTAAAATGTATTTTTTAAATTTCAATCCCTAAAGAAATCCATCCAGGTTGGACCTTTAAAGTTATGGATTTAATAATTCAGTCCCTAAAGTTGACAATTATTATGTCAATTGTTGCGCACTTTGACCTTGAGTTACATCAGATGATTTTTAAGACAACATTTCTCAATGGCAATATTGATGAGAAGATCTATATGGTGCAACCAAAAAACTTTGTGTCATGAGACCTGAAGAATATGGTTTGAAAATTAAAGAAATCTATCTATGGGCTCAAGCAAGCTTCTCATCAATGGTACCACAAATTTTACCAAGTAATTATTTCATTTGATTTTAAGATAAATGCCATTGATGATTCTGTGTATCACAAGTTTAGTAGGTGTAAGCATGTTTTCCTAATTTTGCATGTTGATGACATACTGCTTGTCACTAATGGTATAAGCATGCTACACGAAACCAAGAGATTTTTGTTAAGGAATTTTGAGATGAAAGATCTATGTGAGATTCAGATACATTGGGATCGCTCTCGAGGTATTATTGGATTGTCACAAAAGAGTTGTATCGATAAAATATTTAAGAGGTTTGACATGCAAGACTATAAACCAAGTGACATCCCTATCACTTAGGGAAACAAATTTAGTCTCAAACAATGCCCACAAAATGACATTGAAGTTAAGGAAGTGTATTAGCCATTGGGAGTCTAATGTATGCCCAAGTTGATACATGTCCGGACATAGCATTTATTATTAGAATGCTAATGAGATATTTAAGCAACCCTGGGATGGATCAGTAGAAGACAATTAAAAGGTTTATGAGGTATTTAAAAAGAACAAAGGATTACATGCTTACATATAGCAGATCGAATCAGTAGATCTTGTGATCACTTACATGGCTCTCACTAAGACACAAGTTCGCAAAAAAGGAATGAAAGACAAGGTCCCCCCGGCGAACTACACCTCTCAGGATGACCCAGAAGATAAAAGCATGGCCTTCTTTACTCCAAATCAATATTAACAGATCTTAGCCCTTCTCAATAAGCGTAATAGAGAGCCTAAAGCAAATGTAGTAGGTTAGACCCCCCCCCCCCCCTCCTCTTTTTTTTTTTTTTTTTTTTTTTTTTTTTTTTTTTTTTTTTAAAAAAAAAAAAAAAAAAAAAAAAAAAAAAAAAAAAAAAAAAAAATTCATGTTCATTTTTCATTTTTTTTTTTTTTTGGTAAGAATCAAAATCAAGCAAAAAAAAGAATTTTTGATAGTGGAGCAACAGACCGTATAACTTTTACTAGAGATCTATTATGTGATACGTATACATCTCATTTTTCTACTACTAGCCCTCCAAATGGCCACAAAACCAAGATAGACACCATAGGTTCCACCCAACTTACCATAAATTTAACGATAAAAAATGTTTCTCATGTACCTTCCTTCAATATAAATTTAAAATCCATTAGTAAGATATCTAAAGACCTAAATTGTTCAGTTACCTTCTACTCTGGATTTTGTAGCTTACAAGACTTGGCAACAAAGAGGATGATTGGTTTGGGAAGAATGCATAATGGTTTGTTTCACTTCTTAACACTGACACAT